GGTTCAGGTGTCATGGTGGTTGTGTGGCCAGGTGGTGCAGCAAAGTAATGGGTTCAGGTGTCATGGTGGTTGTGTGGCCGGGTGGTGCAGCAGTAATGGGGGTTCAGGTGTCATGGTGATTGTGTGGCCGGGTGGTGTGGCAGTAATGGGTTCAGGTGTCATGGTGGTTGTGAGACCAGGTGGCGCAGCAGTAATAGGTTCAGGTGTCATGGTGGTTGTGTGGCCGGGTGGTGCAGCAGTAATGGGGGTTCAGGTGTCATGGTGATTGTGTGGCCGGGTGGTGTGGCAGTAATGGGTTCAGGTATCATGGTGGTTGTATGGCCAGGTGGTATGGCAGTAATAGGTTTGGTGTCATGATGATTGTGTGGCCAGGTGGTGTAGCAGTAATGGGTTCAGGTGTCATGGTGATTGTGTAGCCAAGTAGTGTGGCAGTAATGGGTTCAGCTGTCATGGTGGTTGTGTGGCCATGCAGGTGGTGCAGCAGTAATGGGTTCAGCTGTCATGGTGGTTGTGTGGCCAGGTGGTGCAGCAGTAATGGGTTCAGGTGTCATGGTGGTTGTGTGGCCAGGTGGTGTGGCAGTAATAGGTTCAGGTGTCATGGCGATTGTGTGGCCAGGTGGTGTGGCAGTAATAGGTTCAGGTGTCATGGTGATTGTGTGGCCAGGTGGTGTGGCAGTAATGGGTTCAGGTGTCATGGTGATTGTGTAGCTAGGTAGTGTGGCAGTAATGGGTTCAGGTGTCATGGTGGTTGTGTGGCCGGGTGGTACAGCAGTAATAGGTTCAGGTGTCATGGTGGTTGTGTGCCAGGATGGTGTGACAGTAATAGGTTCAGGTGTCATGGTGGTTGTGTGGCCAGGTGGTGTGGCAGTAATAGGTTCAGGTGTCATGGTGGTTGTGAGGCCAGGTGGCGCGGCAGTAATAGGTTCAGGTGTCATGGTGGTTGTGTGGCCGGGTGGTGCAGCAGTAATGGGTTCAGGTGTCATGGTGATTGTGTGGCCGGGTGGTGTGACAGTAATGGGTTCAGGTGTCATGGTGGTTGTGTGGCCAGGTGGTGCAGTAGCAATGGTTCAGGTGTCATGGTCGTTGTGTGGCCAGGTGGTGCAGCAGTAATGGGTTCAGGTGTCATGGTGCTTGTGAGACCAGGTGGCGCAGCAGTAATAGGTTCAGGTGTCATGGTGGTTGTGTAGCCGGGTGGTGCAGCAGTAATGGGGGTTCAGGTGTCATGGTGATTGTGTGGCCGGGTGGTGTGGCAGTAATGGGTTAAGTTATAATGGTGGTTGTGTGGCCAGGTGGTGCAGCAGTAATGGGTTCAGGTGTCATGGTGGTTGTGTGGCCAGGTGGTGCAGTAGTAATATGTTCAGGTGTCATGGTGGTTGTGTGGCCAGGTGGTGCAGCAGTAATAGGTTCAGGTGTCATGGTGGTTGTGTGGCCAGGTGGCGTGGCAGTAATAGGTTCAGGTGTCATGGTGGTTGTGTGGCCAGGTGGTGCAGCAGTAATAGGTTCAAGTGTCATGGTGGTTGTGTGGCCGGGTGGTGCAGCAGTAATAGGTTCAGGTGTCATGGTGGTTGTGTGGCCGGGTGGTGTGGCAGTAATGGGTCAGGTGTCATGGTGGTTGTGTGGCCGGGTGGTGTGGCAGTAATGGGTTCAGGTGCCATGGTGGTTGTGTGGCCGAGTGGTGTGGCAGTAATGGGTTCAGGTGTCATGGTGGTTGTGTGGCCGAGTGGTGTGGCAGTAATGGGTTCAGGTGTCATGGTGATTGTGTGGCCGGGTGGTGTGGCAGTAATGGGTTCAGGTGTCATGGTGGTTGTGTGGCCAGATGGTGTGGCAGTCATGGGGTTCAGATGTCATGGTGATTGTGTGGCCAGGTGGTGTGGCAGTAATGGGTTCAGGTGTCATGGTGATTGTGTGGCCAGGTGGTGTGGCAGTAATGGGTTCAGGTGTTATGGCGGACAGAGATTAGTTCATTCAAACATTGTGCAATTATTGAATAATGAAATCTGGTTATTATGCAGATGTAAATGTCTTCATTCTCTGCAGTTATTTCTATTTTTCCCAAATGTTTTATTTTAGCCAAATTGTAACTTTCATAATCAAAATTATTCATGTCACATAAAACCTGAGATTGATAAGCTTTCGGAATTAAAGCTGATCAGATAAAATATTCTGACTTGTAATCACAATTTTAAATTACATTTTAACATAAATTACACATGAACCATACTTGCCTTGAGTGAGACAGTAACTGGAAGTGACATATTTTTGTCTTCATTCTTTTCAAATTGATGTTCTAATCGTAGTAATACTGTACCGTCTTGCCAATCTTCTAATGTAAGTAAGTGTACATTGGCCGGTAGTTCACGTGTTAACATGGAAGCCTAAAATAGAATACAGGTAAAGGTTTAAGTATGATTATCATGTATTCATATCCATACAAATATCATAATATTCAACATACAAATTGGATATAACAACCACATATGAATAACTGAATGTGGGACTTATATGACTGTTGATATAATAGTAAACAAGTCATTGTCAATGACACGTCCCCGTTCCGTTCATATTTGAGTGACATATACATTCAAAGCAGATCATGACCGAAATGCACCTGCATATGTACAACACATTGTACTAAATCTGAACAAAATCCATCCATGCATGACTGAGATCTGGTTCCGGAATTGTGAAAATACGTGATTTTAATGCATTTTCGGTCTTAAAATGGCCATCATTCAGCTATTGTTAAGCGGATCATGAAACAAATGCACATATCTATTTGTGACATGATGCACCATGTGTGTGTGAAGTTTGAACTTGATCAATCCAGACATGTCTCGGATACGGATCCAGAACTGAATTCTTTAAAACAAAATGGCCGCCAGTCAGCCATTTCGAACTTGATCTGAAAAAAAAATGACTGCATCAAGGTCCTATTATGTTTAATGTATGTACCAAATTTGAATGAAATCCGTCCATGCATAACTGAGATCCGGGTCCGGAATGGTGAAAATGTGCGATTTCAATGCATTTTCGGCCTTAAAGCGGCCGCCATTCAGCTATTGTTAAGCGGATCATGAAACAAATGCACATACATATTTGTGACATGATGTACCTTGTGTGTGTGAAGTTTGAACTTGATCAATCCAGACATGTCTCGGATACGGATCCAGAACTGAATTCTTTAAAACAAAATGGCCGCCAGTCGGCCATTTCGAACTTGATCCGGAAAAAAAAATGACGTGCATCAAGGTCCTATTATGTTTAATGTATGTACCAAATTTGAACGAAATCCGTCCATGCATAACTGAGATCCGGGTCCGGAATGGTGAAAATGTGCGATTTTGATGCATTTTCGGCCTTAAAATGGCCGCTATTCGGCTATCGTTAATCGGATCATTAAAAAAATGCATGTGCATATGTCCCATATAATGTGTGATGTATGAGTGAAGTTTGAACATAATCGGTCCATGCATGTTCGAGATACAGGTGATCACGGACGCACGGACGCACACAGGGCAAAACATAAGTCCCCGTTTTCGGACTCCGTCCGAACGGGGACTAATAACATCGTGGATTTATTTGAATGTATTGTGCAATGTATCACTGGATAATGAAATTCATTTGAAAATTGCTCAATATATGTACGGCTGGTTGTGAATATAGAGCATTAAAGTGGGGGAGTCGTCACTTGCGCATGCGTCAGATGGCTATAGCGCGTCATTGTTTACGAACAAGCGTCTACCCGTTAGCCTTTGCGTTTTAGCGTGTGTTGTTATCATCGCTTGGGACTCAATAGCCGCGCGTGCGCAGGTGACGACCCTCCCGCTTTAAAGTATTGGAGGGATACCTACTCAGACACTGAACCTGATCACAAGAAATATTCATACCATCATGTCTTGCTTTTAAAAATAGGATAGGATTTACCGTTTTTTTGTCAAACCACGAAAATAAATGGCGTGAGCTAGTAAACTCCATGAGTCCAGATAACACCATGTTTAAATGAAACTGTACCAGGCACATGTGAAAAATGATTGATGACATGTTTAAATAAATGTTCATATAAATACCACTATGTCGTGTTTTTGTAATAACTTGGAAATTGTTAGTAAAATTGTGTCGGAGATCGGAATATTATGTAAATTATTTGATGGTCGGAATCTGTGTGAATTCATGGTATGTAAAATGTTCAATGGTTTTAATGGCATGCAAATGTTGGTATCGTTTTAGCTTCGCATTTGATTGTTTGTTTGAATTTAATTTTCGCACGTGAGTGGATTTACAAAGATTCGCTTCATTTTTCAAATAACTGTGCCTCCTTCAAATGAATTACTAGTACGATTAACATGTTGGTTGTTTTGTAAAAGTAAGTAAACTTTCTCCAGAAAATAATAAATGCATAGAAAGCAACTATGGATTCACACACTTAATAACGTCACTGCCAGAAATCAGGAAAAAGTCGTGAATTTTAAAATAAAACTACAAAGTAGGAGCTGGCTCTTGAATATAGAAAAAGTTCAATGTTACACACAACTGAAAATCTGGTGGCAACATAAAAGTGAGTGTCGGTTTGGCAGAGTGGGGTTCTCCACGGCACTGGTTATGTCGTACCAGTGTCGCTTATGGAGGGTTAATCACAAGCTTTAGTCTCGTATGACACGATCCCACTACGCCACGGCTCACCTGAAAACATTGACAAGTGAATATATATTTATACTTTACTATTAGCATGATGACAGCAATGCACTCTGTTGTGCAATCTCTGACATGAGTTGTCGTAGAGGGCGCTTAGCTCGGCTCATTCCAATTGTGGTAATTGCGTTATTAAAATTTATCAAGAAATAAGTACTGAAGATTCATATTAAAACCATTCAAAAAATTATATCTTTACATTTCTAAAATAAACAGTTTACAATTATTAATTCTAAAATCATAAAAACCATCCCATCCATCAAGGAAAAAATATTATTACCATCAGTCAATTTTTAGTTAGGAGAGCTTAAACTGGATATATATACTTACTGTATTCTCTGAAAATAGTTATTTAAAAATAAATAAGTGAAAATATTACAGTTTAACTCGGAGCAAACAAAGTATAATTTTACTTAAATGGACCATAATTAATAGTTTCCCAGTCGTTGTAAACATTTCCACCTTTACAGTTACTTTCCTAAGATTATTCTTAAAGTTGTGTTTAGTGGATTGAGATATGTAAATAATTTGATAGTTGGGATCTGTGTGAATTCTTGGTATGATAATGTTCAATGATTGTAATTTTATACAAATGTTGGTATCGTTTTAACTTCGTATTTGCTTGATCAACATGTGTTTGTTTTGTCATAGTAAGTAAACTTTCTCCAGAAAATAAAAAATGAATAGAAAGCAACTATGGATTTATAAACTTAATAACGCCACTGCAGGAATCTGAAAAAGTCGTGAAGTTTAAAATAAAGCTACAAAGAGGAGCTGGCTCTTGAATATAGAAAAAGTTCAATGTTACACACAACTGAAAATCTGGTGGCAACATAAAAGTGAGTGTCGGTTTGGCAGAGTGGGGTTCTCCACGACACTGGCTATGTTGTACCAGTGTCGCTTATGGAGGGTTAATCACAAGCTTTAGTCTCGTATGACACGATCCCACTACGCCACGGCTCACCTGAAAACATTGACAAGTGAATATATATTTATACTTTACTATTAGCATGATGACATCAATGCACTCTGTTGTGCAATCTCTGACATGAGTCGCCATAGAGGGCGCTAATGGCTCATTCCCAGCAATTGTGTTATTGAGGTAATGAGTATCTGAATAAAAATAGACCAGGCACAGCAGAGAAATGGTTGATGACATTTTAAAACAAATGTACATATGAATACCTTGTCTTTCCTTTGTACTAGCTTGGTACAAAAATGGCGAAAGATGTCAAAGCTTGTCCTGGAAATGGTTAAAAACCATGAACAAATTAAATTAACATGGCCACTATTTAGCCATTTTGAATCAAATCACACCAAAAAAATTGGTTCATCAGTAACCCATCATATGTGGTGTTCATACCCAAAGACTGCTGATGACTTGTGTGACTAAAATGGCCACCAGTCAGACAGAGGTCATCAACATAAAAACAAACCAACATGCATAATGTATACTATTAAGAGTTGCACCTACTTTGTACTAAATTGGTCAAACAGGTCCTCGAAATGATTGAAGGCAGACCACCAGTTGACAATTTTGAATCAAAT